AATATCAATAATGTGCAGCTTTCAAAAACTAAAAGTCTAAGAAGACAGGAATTGGTAAGGAACATGAAAAAGAAATCTGGAATTAGTTTCAGGGTATGTAATGCAAATATGATTAAATACCCATACATAAACACTGAGTCAAACTAGAACCCAGAAGCAGATGGAGAGGACAAGACCATGCGGTAGAAGTACATAGAGACAGCTTACCTGAACAAGGAGGAGCTAAGGGCCACTAGACTGATAGCTGGGAAGCCAACAGGGGTCTGACTCGGACCCCCCTGAATATGGGTCTCAGCCAGAAGGTCTGAGCAGCCTAAGAGACCTCAGACAGTGGAGCCAGGATGTATCCCTGGTGCACAAAAGGACTTTGCAAACATATCCCCCATGGAGGGATAACTGCCTTATTCTAGAGATAGGAGAGAAGCCCTAGTCCCTACATCACAGGACCTGTCAGATCTACATGACCCCAACTGGATGGCATTCCCCTACATATTGTATTGTGGTGGGGGGTTGGGAGGGGAGGGTGTTTAGAGTGCATGGGAGAGGGTAGAGAGGGCAAAAGGGAGGGAAAGAGGGAGGGAAGGCTTGGGGGGAGGGAGGGAGGGAGGGAGAGGGAACTGGGATCGACATGTAAAATAATAAAAAAAAAAAAACGCTTTGACTCCAAAATTTAAGTTGAAGAACAAGTTACTGGGGAAAAGTATTTCTATTTTTGTTTCCACAGAAAATGAAAAGATGTGGATTCCTTCCAGACTAATGTGGTTTGATCACACCAGACCGCCTGAAACAGAGTACAAGCTGATCCTACATTCCAAACAGCTGGACAAAACAGCCCTACAGACTACAGCTAGGATATCTGAATCTTCTTCGAATCCCCCAAGACAGCGCCCCTTACCAGCAGGAAGTAGTTTGGAAAGAACGACGCCCAAATTCCCAAATATTGTGTATAAATGTTTGTTTTCATTTAATTGGACTTTGTTATATAAAATTAAATAAAAAATACTCTATATGCATAAAAAAATAATTTAAAATTTTTAAATAAAAAAATAAGTGAAAAAATCCACTGGGTATTCAACTAAAGCCCTTTCACTAAAATGTTCCTGAGTCATGTTCAATATCAGACTATATTCCCTTATTCCATGGAAAGTTGGAATTTTAGAAAGATACTATGTGGCACAATTTTAAGTTTAATTCAGCAGACTTCACTTGTCCTGGAGGAAGAACACATTATGAAACATGGTGTCCCAACCACTTCAGTTGTAAGATGTGCTTAAGCATATAGTTCCCACCTATTCCAGAGAGTAGGCAAATAGAAAACATTTGTAGATGAAATAAAATAGATATTCATTTTTTCCATCATTTCCAGGATCTTAATCCAAACTGAAAGAAACTAGTGAATAGTCATAGAAGCCCTGATGAAAAGGAGAGCTAGTTTGCATTTAAAGGAGAAACCTGTTCATGTTCAATGATCATAAAAGTTAAAGTTGATCAAAGCTGGGATGTAACTAAAAGTTAGATGTCTCAATCCGGTGAGGGTTCATTATCTACCTCCCTGTCATGAGCCATATCAGAACCTAGTAGAGGAAGAGCCCCTGAGACTATCTGTAACGAACCAATCAGATAGTAGATCACAGTGAATCACATGGAGACATTCAGACTAAGCAAATGAACAAGAGATAAAGTAGGAGAGAATCTGTAACTGAGAGAAATCTCAACCATTTTGCCCATTGTTCTCCATGATCTGGATGGAGTGTTCTTAAATAGAGCATCATATGGCTAAGAAGTTTATTTTGGGATTAAATTTTTACATTTTTAAATTCCAAATTATCCATTTAATAGGTAGTATCATAACACAGATTACTTAACCTTTCTAGATCTATTTTCCCATCAATAAAATATGCATTGTAGTAAAATATAATTTAGATGGTAATATCTAACTCATAAGATTTTTTTGTGAACAGTATCAGTTATATTTAACACCATACCTGGCACTCATCAAGGGATTCAGTAAGTACTTATTTTATTCTGCAATCCTCTATACCTCATGCTCCTAAGTCACAAAACAAACACTTGTGCATTGAATGGTAGCTTAAGGAAGCCTGTGGCTCTGTTTAGACCCAAGGTTCTCACCCACCAGATTTTAGGTGTACAGCTGAAGGTACAATGGGAGAAAATGGGTGACTATAAAATTGCCTAATTTGTTGCATTGATTTTTTGTATTGTTTTCCTGGCATTCCCCTACATATTGTATTGTGGTGGGGGGTTGGGAGGGGAGGGTGTTTAGAGTGCATGGGAGAGGGTAGAGAGGGCAAAAGGGAGGGAAGGAGGGAGGGAGGGTTTGGGGGGAGGGAGGGAGGGAGGGAGAGGGGAACTGGGATCGACATGTAAAATAATAAATTAAAAAAAAAAAACGCTTTGACTCCAAAATTTAAGTTGAAGAACAAGTTACTGGGGAAAAGGATTTCTATTTTTGTTTCCACAGAAAATGAAAAGATGTGGATTCCTTCCAGACTAATGTGGTTTGATCACACCAGACCGCCTGAAACAGAGTACAAGCTGATCCTACATTCCAAACAGCTGGACAAAACAGCCCTACAGACTACAGCTAGGATATCTGAATCTTCTTCGAATCCCCCAAGACAGCGCCCCTTACCAGCAGGAAGTAGTTTGGAAAGAACGACGCCCAAATTCCCAAATATTGTGTATAAATGTTTGTTTTCATTTAATTGGACTTTGTTATATAAAATTAAATAAAAAATACTCTATATGCATAAAAAAGAGAAATATTCAAAGGAAAGTAAATAAACCAAAATACAATTTAAAAAAAAAAATTGCCTAATTTGGCAAACCATGTTATTATCTCTGGAGAAAGCCAAACCCAGGCACAGCTGATGAGTTAATAAGATATGATGCAGAAAACATTTCCTTCTCCTTTTTGGTTTCAGCCTATTTTTGAAGCTATACAGCTCTTCAGCACAGTTAGCACCTGAAGGCATGGGAGCAATGGCTACTGCCACTGGAAGATCTTCCAAGATGTGGCTAACACTGCTGTTTATTTGTAAGTACTGATTCATGTTACTCTCCCAAGGGACCAACAGGCATCCAGAGATTATCAGGGTGGATACATTGATGGTTTTGGGGTGACTTTGCAGCACATATGCAAATTATGGGACCATTTTCTAGCACTGTGTAGTGAGAGGAGCAGAGGGAACTGGCCTGAGCATTACCTCAATGGGAAATTAGGCTAATAGCTTGTATCTTTTCAGTCCTTTGGCATCTATTAGAGTACAAGACAGTTACCAAAGGAGGAGGATAGAGGAAAGAACACCGTGCCTTCTCCCCATTGGTCATTAAAACCTCATGGATGTGGGTCTTATTCTCATGCAAATTCCAGTCTTTTTGTGTCCTGTAAAACTAGAGATAGGTGCTAACTTACCCTTTATTAATTTTGCAGCTCTGAGTGTCACACTAACAGGTGAGTTCTTTGTCCTTATTCCCTCGATGTATCTGAACATTGCTGTCTTCCTCTGTATTCATCTTGTTTTCTTACAACTGAATTTTCTTCTTCCTGGAAAGTGTACTTTCCAGATCTACCCCTTCTTCATCCTTTTATTCTCAGCCCCAGAATTTCCCATATATCACTTTCCCCTCTCAAGTTGCCTCCTCTTCTGCTTAAGGCAACAGCCATGTCTGCACTGCTATAAGCCTGACTTCTAGAACTTTCACATACACTTATCCAACTTTCATATTACTTCATTATTGCTATTTTATAATTGAGAATCTCATAACTCAGATTTCATCACAATGCACAACCAACAAAAACTGGGTTCTAAAATAAGTCCCTTATGTCTGCATATAATGTACCTTCACTATATCAACCTTTGTCATCACTACAAGCTGCTCAATAGCTTCTGTTTAAATTATAACCACATCTTCTTGCCCCTGGAAGCCATTCAAGGCTGACACCCTCTTGATACTTTGCACAAAGCTTCAAAATTGCAGACATTTCTCACTGTATATATTCACAATTAAATTGTTAAAAATTAGGATAATAATTTATCTAGTCTATTATATATTTTTATTTTAATTAATGTAATTTATTTATATTATATGCTAAAAATGTAGCAATACTTGCTATGGTCTGAAATGGTTGATAGTTGTTCTTGATATGTTTAATGAAACTGAGGTTTAACATTTATCCTTTATTTCTACACTGAGCCATCCAATTATTATTTAGCAAACACTAACTGTATACCAACCATTATGATAAGCAATGACTATGTCAAATATTATCTCTATGTAAAAAAGATTGCAATTTTCTTTCTTTCTTTTTTTTAACATATGGGCATTATTTGGCTTTATTTTTTGACTAGAAGACAACATAATTTAAGAATTAGACACCAGAGTAGGCAGAGGTGAAAATATTATAGGGGGAAATTTTAATTCAACTTATGGATCATTTATTAATAGTTTACCAAATTAGTTATATTGAGGAAGAGCATAGAACAGTTTAAGATAATAAATTAATTTATTTATTAATATTCTAATTAATGAAATATACTATAATGCAATAGTCTTCTCATTTTTCTTTGAATTGATTATTGTTACTGTAGAAAAGATTTTTTTGGATGTCTTCTTTAATTTAATTACTTTTTTGGAGTAATTAAATTAAACACTCCTAAAAAGATTACAATTTTCATTTATGGATACTGATATTGAAGTTCAGATAGTTAGCATAGGTTATGACATCATATAATAAATTACTTCACTGTTTCCAAACCTCTTATATTTTAATCATATCTTCATGCCTGGACTTGTTCTCTGAGACCACACTATTTATTCCATCCTTTATTGCTTTTCTTACACACCAAGACCAAGCCTTGTTGCTAACAAAAATGGACCATTGTTTGACTGTTGACATGTGTGTACTCTTAAAATTGGATAGGTTTCTATGACTTAAATTTTTTTTTATCTTTACAATTTTACTTTCTTTAAGCCACTCAGAAATCTGTTATGTCATTGAATCCACCATGGATTAGAATATTTACAGGAGATAAAGTGATTCTTACATGCCATGGGAATAATTCCCTTCAAGAGAACTCTACTAAATGGTTCCACAATGGCATCATCTCTAAGGTGACAACATCACATTGGGACATCGTGAGTGCCACCATTCAAGACAGTGGAAAATACATATGTCAGAACCAAGGATTTTACAAGAGTAAACCCGTGTACTTAGAAGTGATGAAAGGTATGTTCTAGGGATATGGTAATACATATCTTTCACTGGAAGAATGACCCACTAGAATAGTGGTTCTCAACGTTCTTAATGTTGCAACATTTTAATATAGTCCCTCATGTTGTGGTAATCCCTAACACTAAAATTTTGCTACTGTTATGAATCATAATGTAAATATCTGTGTTTTCCAATGTTATTAGGTGACCCTTGTGAAAGGGTCTTCTGTATCCTCTCCCAGAGGGGTCATGATCCACCAGTTGAGAACTGATGCACTAGAAGATGGTAGGAATGTAGGTTATTTTTAAGAGATTCAGGGTTTCTCACCCATGGCATCTCAGTGTCTTTTCTTTTGCACTTTCCTTAAGTCCTCTCTCTTAGTCGTCTATTCAGTCAATATTATTCCTCTGCTCTGTTTCTTCTATCTTACCTAGGTATAGATGTGTATTCTGTGACCAAATGGCATGACAGGGAAATGGACACTGCAAAGAGCTGTATATGTATATTGGATCATGATATTTGAGTAAAGATTTGATGTAAACAATTTGTGAGCCATGAAAAGATTCCTCTGCATTTCCCTCATGTCCTTTACTGTTATTAAAAACAATAGTATTGCTTATTTTGATACAAATATTGTTTATTTATCACTCTTTTACTGCCAAAACTTAATACACCATATCTAGATATCAGTAAATGTTGAAAGAGCAAATTATCTTTCAAGTGGAAAAGTTGCTCAATATGTTTTTCTTGAGTAAAAAGATGTGTTTTAGCATCTATAACCCAGTTCCAAATACAAACTAAACCATGCAGAATAGTCATTTATTTCCTGTTATTAGACTTTAGAGAAGTCCTCAAAGGGTTTTTCTTAAATACAATATGCTTGCACAAGTTAGATGCAGTCTCATTCAAAACTCTTCATTTTTAAATGTTTAACAATTCTTATTAATGGCATTAACCATAGAACACCATTCTTAGAACTTGCTAAATCATTATTGACAAATAGTCACTAAGTATCTACAAACTCATAAACTCTGTGTTAGATACTACAGACAAAACAGAACCAGACACAGCCCTGTATCTTTATACATAGTTCTATATAGGGAAGAGGACAGTAAATAAAAATTAGACAAATAGATCAAATTTGTATATATATTTTATGAAAGTATTTTTGGCCAGCTAAAATTAACAACAAAACTGAGAAGCCTCTGTGAAGAAAGAGTAGACAAAATTAATTCCTTAATTTCAAACATTTTTGGAGGAAAATGTCTATCTGCTCCTTCTTAACTAGATCCAGCTAGAACAATCTGAAGGGATTTCTGGTCTTTGGGCTTTCCATGTGTGAGTTCAGCAGTCAACTGTATGCCATTTTATGGATCCCGACTGACTTTTCAGAGGGATAAAGGATTCATTGTATAAATTTCAGGTTATACATATTATTTTGTGTTTGTTTTTTAATTGATCTTATGAACTAAGGAATGGGTAAATGGGCCTCCTTTCATCTGTCTGTAGATTTGTCTGTCTGCTCCTCTCTCCCTGCCCCTCTTCCTAAGGACACTTGCCCATTGTTAGGTAAATAACAACGATGTTGTGAATGCTCTTCAGACTGGCTGCTCCTTCAGACTTCTGCTGATACGGTATTGGACAACGAGTCCTTTGACATTAGATGCTATGGCTGGAAGAACTGGAGTGTCCACAAGGTGATCTACTATAAGAATGACCTCGCTTTCAAGTACTTTTATGAAAGCCCCATAATCTCCATTAGAAATGCCAAACTTAATGACAGTGGCGCCTATCACTGCACTGGCTATCTTAGGCGGCTGAACTATACATCAGAGAAATTCAGAATTACTGTAATAAGAGGTAAGTTGGTACAGAACAAAATAGTCCATAGCAGGGGAAGAGAAAGTGTACCTATGAGCCAGTATTTAAAGTTAGTACAACAAGGACATTTGTCATTGTTCAGAAAGGTCAATAGACTTGTAACAAGGAGACCCAAGACATATCTCTACAGCAGAGTCCTTATTTGTTAAGTGTTGATGGTAATACCTATGCACAAAGTGAAATTTTATAAAGATTAATGAGATAGGTTTATCAAATGGCTTTATAAACTGTCAAGTCCTGTCCAGACATAAAAGATTTCAATTAGCATTTTAAAATTATCTCTCACTCCTAAGAAGAGTGTTTGTATCTATCAAATTGGAAATGACTTGGGAAGCTAAAGAAGTAAGAATGCAAAGCTCTTGGAGAGCCCATATTAGCTGAGGGCATTGGGGAAGGAATCCAATCCCTTTGTGAGTTATGTGTGCAGGTATGGGAGGAGGAAAGTGAGCCCACTAAGGGCAAGTAGGTGGGCTACCTCTATGGCTCATAAGAAAAGCTGCTCTTAGCAAACATCACATAAGACGTGAACTTTGAAATGCTTGCCTTCAAAGGAAAAACATTTTGTTTTATCGTGGCATGTTCATAGATATTTATAAAAAAGCAAGTTGGACAAACTTAGAATTATAGTCTGATGTTTAATTATTCCCAGTTCCATGCTGTGTGTCCTTTTGTACTTCCAAATCATCAGCTAATGGCATCATGCTTCCATGACTTACAAGCTAGAAGAACAGCTAGACAAAGATTATTGGGAAACATTTATCTCTCTGCAGGGAGCTAGAGGGAAGACAGTAGAACCCAGTATCTATCTATGGTGTTTTCTCTCTATTTCTGGATACACCATCAGGCTGAGGGTGGAGACTCATGCTTGTGTCCCTCTTAAGGAAGATGCGTCTCTGAGTCCCATTTTTCTGTTTCTAACCCGAATTGTATAATGGTATCTATGTCTCATTCTAGTTTACAAAAGCAAGTATCATTGGCTACAACTAATTATCCCATTGTTGGTGGTGATTCTGTTTGCTGTGGACACGGGATTATTGGTCTCAACCAAGAAACAGTTCAAACTAGTCTTAAAGATTCAGAAGACAGGAAAATGCAACAAACCTTGAAACTGAACTCCTAACCTAGGCACATAAAGGAACTGATCACATTGCTGAAGAGACAACTCTTAACTGTAATTTTTCACATTTCTCAATAGCATCTCATCTGTCAAAGGCCACTCACATTATCCATAGAATAGTCTTTGCCTCACGATTTGTATAAAGGCTTCGTTAAACCGACTATAGCCAGTTAAGTGACATGTAATAGCAAATGCTCAATAAACATAATGAATGAATTGATTGCTTTATTTGTATTTGTAAAAGAGAAGTACAATTTGAATAAAGCAAGTGTGGAAATCATGTATCACAGTACCTTTAGTGATTCCAGACTTCTTCATTTGTTTTTTCCTTCTAGAAGAAAGATTCATGAGGGCATACATTTAAAATAACCTTTCCTGGTCATTATAAGGAGGTAGCACAGAAGACATGGTATGATACTGGTGAGGTTGGCAATGTTTTGTATTCTGTCTTCCATTGCTTGAAACTTTTGATTCTTGACAAAAATTGAGGTGACCCCAAAGAATAGGAAGTTCAGGCCAGGATTCATATGTGATCAGTTTAGTGCTGTCAGATTAACCAATTTTATAGTTACAACTTGAATCATATCTCCATAGAGGAACAAGGCAAATATCCTTTTGAGAAGTCCAGGAAATGATAAACACTGTTGATAGTCCAGGACAGTGATTCTCAACCTGTGGATCATGATCCTTTGGGTCAGTTTGTAAAATGAAAATACATCCTTATATCAGATACTTATATTGTGATCCATAACACTACCAACTTACAGTTACTAAGGAACAGTGGAAATAATTTTATGGTTGGGAGTCATCACAACATGAGGAACTGTATTAAAGGTTGAGAACCACTTGTGTAGGACTTAATACAGTCTTGGGTAGAGAAATAGGTTTGTGTTCTTTCTCTTTCATTTTCTTATGAAGTCATTCATTGAAGGCCTGGGTCTGTCTCAGAGTGTGAGTTGGATTAAGTTTCTTACCTGCAAAGATATCCATTATTAGAACTAAACTGCAAAGTATAAGACATGGATCAAAATCTTTATTCTTTTACCTTCTAGGTTTTTGACTTGAGAAAATCTGCTTATATGTTTATGAGTTGAATGTTTTATTTCTAAAACAGGAATGAGGATAGGCATCATGTCCAACTGAGCTCCTTCCCATGCTTATGCAGACAATGAGTTGGTTCTTAAGGAAAACTAAGGGACAGGGCCCACAGTGTCAGTGCTGAACTGGAGTTTATTACAGCACTTGAGAGTAGAGGACCTCCAGTTTGTCCAGACTCTGCATCTACTGTCATGGTGGGAAAAGGCATAGGGCAATTTGTAAACATTGACTAGACCTGAAGTTTTCATTTTGTCAAGAAATGTTAATGGGAAACACATAGTAATTAATTCAGCTTTCTATAAGGTAAGCATATTATGTGACCTTCCTTCTCATACTCTACTTCTCCCTCATTCATATGGTAAGAAACAACTGCATGCCTGACAAATGGGTTCATGTAAATAGGTGTGGTGAAGAGATTTCTTCTGGAATGCAGGCCAGGGAAAGTCCCCCTTGGAAACTCCTGAGTGAATTTATGGGAAACTTTCTCTGCTTCCTGTCCAAGCCTTAATTCAGGATAAAGCCTTCAGACCACACTGTTGCCAATATACACAATCAAGACACATTGTTTCACAGAGTTCCCTACAGTGTCCCTGCTTCTGGCACTGAGCTGGGCAGGATGTCCCTTCTTTATCTCAGTCTTGGTTGTGATGCCAGATACTCAGAATTAGGAACCGAGAGATGCTTGATGTGGGCAGAAATTCCAGGCTTGATCAGTTTGAGAGACATCTGAGGAGTGTCTAGGACTCTGTTCATCACCATTTAATTTTGCCTCCTCCATCCCCAGCCAAGCTTGTGGTGGCCATGGACAGAGCAGAGGGATGGAAGTTCAAGCTGCTTCTCACTGGGTGTTGGACTAGCCTAGGCCACTGGCAAGTCTTTGAGATTCTGTTTTCCTTGTGTGAGAATGAACTGGACAAGGCGGTTTCTAACGTCTCTTTAATCTCAGACACTGCCACTCATTATTCTAGTCTCAGAGGCTCAGGAGTCATTTCCCACTCAGGGCCAGGGTGGATTTCCTTCCATGCTCCACTGGGCACCCAGACCTGTTGTTACTTTCCTGTGCTGATTGTCATATTTAATTCTCAGTTACTTTCAGATCTGTGTCTGCCATTTCTGTTTTGTTTCTTTAGCCTTCATGGCAATTCACATTCTATTCCCGAAATAACAGAAAATTAGTTTAATATAATATTGTGATAGTTACTAGTTCCCAAATTATACTCTTTATAAAAGTGTCTTTTAAAAAGTATACATGAAATATTTTGATCTATTTCAAAGAGTATATTATACAGGTTAGTCAAGGAATTTCTTTCCTTGCTTTACCCTTTTGTCCTCCTGGGTCACCTCTGATCTGCACTAAATTGGTCCAGGGCAGAGCATAAAGTAATATTTGCTCACTCAAAATAGATAATCACAAATTCCTTATGAGTTTTTGATGCATAGGGGATGGGAAAACAGATGAACATCTCCTGGCTGGTGACCTGAAGATAAATTCCAAAGATTCTTCTAGAATAAATATTCAGACCAAAGATGTATCAGGAGAGACTGTATGGGAACTAAGCCCTTAGAAGAAAAGTAAATCCTCTTCATCAAATGGGAAATGAAGCGCAGATGGGCACCTCTCTACACCTGGAGATGCAGTTTCCTGCTGTGGATGGCAGAATCTCTCAAGACGGCCCAGGTCTAGGGATGACATCAGAGTCTGTTTTCCTGCCTTAGATCACATGCCCAGGTCTGAACAGTTACTTAGCAAGTCCATGCCCCCATCTGGTATTTCAAATGCTGAAGTATTCCCACACCAAAGCTTTGTTCTACTAATGTTCTCAGAATTACCATCAATTCACCTGCATATACCACTTGCAATACCCATATTCTCTCATTTTCAAAACCAAAAAGGCATAGTTATACTGTACTTTCAGTCTTCTTGATGTTCAATACAGCACAAAGGGAGGGCAAAAGCCTCTCCTCAATGTGAAGTTAAGTTGAAAAGAATCTGAAATTATAGAAAATTAAACAGAAAAAACACTCAGATATTTATTTCTTAACAAAATTTCAAAATTATTATGTCATGGTAGATTTAACTCAGCATTTGTAACAACAGTATATTATAAAACTGAAAGCAAAGATCTCATCCACCTGAACTAGGACAAATTAAGGCTAAAAGTTGTATTTTCCACAAATGCCAACTGTTCTAGAAGTCGAATTCTAAAGTGTAGCTGCGAATTGATGGCCCCAGGAAGCAGACTCCAGTTCAGAGGCTTAAATGCAGCACCCACATGTCTGATAGGGTGAAAGAAGCAGGGTTGAAAGAGAAATGTGAAACACAGCAAAAACTCTAAATCATCCCACAGATGACAGTGGTGGGCCTGAGATAGTCCTTCATAATCACAGAGAAGATACCACAAAATAGGCAAACCATTGGAAGCAGCCTATCCTCCAGACATGATAAGAACAGAGAGATGCAGATCCTTAGCAAGGATGCTTCCTGAAGGGGACTCACTGAGAGCTCTGTTACAGAGTTCTAGGTCATCTGGAGAGTTCATGAGTGGATCCTGAAGTATACAGTCTGGGAAGATTCATCTTCAGACATGTGATGGCTGTTCCACTGACCATTACATCTTTACTTAATATCTTTACCAAATTAAAGTCAACAGAATTGCTAAGCTAGTCTTTAAAATTTGTTTTTTAAGCTACTCCTCAGAAAGGAACTGGCTTCACCATTTCTGGAAACCCGGACATATCTAAAGATATAGCACTTCACATTCATTCTCTGTGCATATTTTATAGTCTAGTCTTCTCCCCCCTCCCCACCAAAATGACACTGCTAACTTAAAACTACACATTGTTCACTTCCATGGGCATGCTCTACTACTGTCAAATGATGGATCTGATGTTTTTTTCATGGTGATATCTACCATGCCCTTTCCATACCAACTTTCTTTATTTCAACATTGAAAGGGTGGACGAAGCTAACATTGTCAGTATGGTCTTCTTCTGGGTCTGAGTTTTCTCAAGTGTGCAAAATAGGACTGTGGATAGCCTGTACCTTTATTCTCTGAAGCTGGTGCATTTTTACCTTTTCACCTCTATGATACCATCTACTTCAAAGACAGACTTTAAGTCTCTTGAAACCTCCCAAGTCACCACACAGTGTTAATATGATATTCACAAAACAGAATATTAATATTAAAAGGTCTTTGAAGTAAAGATATGTGTTTGTATACTAACTGCAACAGCAGCTTAACAACAACAAACGTCTTTCTGGGCTGGTTTCCAGAATTGAGATGTATCAGATTTAGAAATTTGATGGGATTAATATTTTAATAAATTTGGATTGATATAGTCTACCAATGAGGATATGTCTGAGAAATAATCTGTAATCAGTTTCATTATTGTATCAATAACATAATGTGTAGCTATGCATCACACATAGTACCCTTTTAATGTATACAACAAGCTGTATGCTTTCTGCCATTTTATATGAAGTGTATCACTGGATTAAAAGTGACTGTGTGACACATAAGTGCAACTCACAATATTCTCACATAGAGTGCAGCTATGTGCACATGGTAACAGGTCTATACACAAAGCAGTTTGCCTCTGGCATTGAACAAGGTCTACATTTAAAGGGGTTTGGCAGGGAAGTGAAAAGGCATTAGTCAACCATGACACACAGAGTTGGACCAAAGCTTTCAATTAAAAGCCTGTCAAGCCTCTGGCTATAAGTAACTCAGGTTTGTAATTTTTCTTTCTACTTATACTAAGTATATAAAAATCATTATTTCATCCCTCTAGAGAAAAGCCCAGAGAATTCTAACAGTATAGAAAGAGGCCTCTAGATTACTAACCATTAGCATATTCTGGTCTTCCGGATACCACAAGTAAAGGTATTTTTTGGAAACAACTTAAAATA